ATGTCCAAGTCTCTCAGTTATTTCAAGGCCGTAATTTGCTTGTTACATTTCTCGTTAAAAATATTGTTTCATTTTGCATCAAAAAGTTGTTACATTTCGCGTTAAAAAGTTGTTACATTTTGCGTCAAAAGTTGTTACATTTCGCATTTATGTTACATTTTGCGTCAATTGTTACATTTTGCGGTGTAACAGAGGCTGTACATTCCTTTTCCCTTCACATACGCAAGCCACCATACATTGTGATGCTGCTCATAATTTTATTTATGGAAGTTTCTTTGGTTTTTCAAGAACAAGACTTTGCCAATCCAAGGTTTGTGTTCTAGGGCCAATTTTCCATAGATTCTGTGTAAAAACTGGGGTAATTTTCAAAGAAAAGTAGGTGGCAAGTTCGCATGAAATAGCTAGATCAAAAACCCTGCAAATAGGCATTTACCTGAATAAATAGAAATGGGTTTTGTTTGTTATGGAAATAAACTGTGGTTCAATTCCTTTTTAATGTAACTGAAAGCTACATGCTATGAAAATTTCAGTCTGGATTCCAGCCAAATCACTTGACAGTAACGACCCTCATCCAAATGTGTGATGAAATGGGTAGACATTATAAGTAATAGCATACTGAGTGTTTAGTATTGCTACATACTAAGAAAGTGTTTGTCTTAATCAATCACAACATGTAGTAGTAAAAACATTTTGTTACCGGGGCCTAGCCGAAGGCTGGCACTGGTCATAAAATGCAACGGATTTCTGTGTTTTCAAAGTTACATTGTTTGGGATATATCGCTGGCTCGTTACGTTTGGGAGTGTTTGCTGAGATATATCGCTGGTTCAGAAATTTGAAGTAGAGAGCAACAACTGTAACCGTGTAAATATTAATTCGATTAGTTTGCACACGGAATGGTTTAATGCGACTATGTTTACCACTTATCAATAAATGAGATCCCTGTCTATTGCAAAATATTGTTACAGTATTCATCCTAGCGATGACAAAGCTTGGTTGATGTAGAACTGTGAACACTACGACAAAGCAAAAATCTTAACTTATTAAACTTGCATGCGCCAAGCTTTGTTTATGCGTTTTGATACCTTACAATTCGCACTCCCTACAGGAAACTTCGTCAAATATTTTCCGACAAACAATTAAAACTCATTAGGAGGAAGTCTATCACTGCTCTGACTTGTGAAGCAACAAAACAAAATATTTTCAAATAACATTTGTCACGCAATATTTACGTCAGCGAGATGTGCAAATTCTCAGCTGTTCAAAATGCGGGATTCCCTAACATTTTGTCTTTTCACATTACTCATTAGACATTGATACAGAATTTTTGTTTTTCTCCTTGGTATTCTTAGCTACTTTGGATTCTTGTTGCTAAGAAATATCTTATTATTATGTAATCGATCTGAACAGGTGAGAAAAACTGCGTAACTTGACAACCTAGGATTGGGAGTTGACATACCATTTTTATTCGATTAACTGCCCTGGGCGCTTATTAAATTTTTGGACCTTGAGAGTGGGCACTAATTCGTGGTGGGTGCTTATTTGAGGCTGGGCGCTTATTAAATTTTTCTGCCTTTAGGATGGGCGCTTATTCGAGGTGGGCGTTAATTTGAGGTTGGGTGCTTATTGGAATAAATACGGTACCTTGTTTTCATCTCTAAAGGATATTTGCAATAAAAAAGATTTTCATGTTGCCCGACAAACTTGTTGATGAAAAGGACCCTTCCATGTGGGTTGCCAAGACAAAAGTGGCCCCGATTCACGAAGTGATTCTTGTTTAATGAGGATAACAACAATTACTGAGGATGCAATAGTTTTCATAATGGCCCTCTCTAAGCTAGTCTAAAATGAGTCTAAAACTAGAATAATTATTAAGAAAATAATTCATAACGATACTTAATATTAAAATGAAAGGAAATAATTCCTTTATGTACACTCTTTGCTGGAGGCCAGCTGCCCACTACTCTTGCACTGACTCTTTGATAACTAGAGGTGTTTTGGGAGATACGTTCATGGTACTTTTTGCGAGCTTCTGAAGTGTCCAATAAGCCAGATTGGATTGTTCTCAATGCAAACAGATGGGTAATTTGTGTTGATGGTATTGTTTTCTGTTTAAAGTTTTCATAACAAGTATATATACAACCCCCCATAAACATAAAGGAAGATAAAAACTATCTGTTGGGACTCTTTTACCATACAAAAGATACCGGGGTATTTAAGTACAGTAATGAAGTGTGAAAAGAAAAGTATATTTTACATATCAGACATATCAAACTTAACAAGAGTTAAGGGTTGGCCTTATGGCATTTTGGGCCAACAATCTTATATGATTCTATGCTCTCTTGGTCTAACACTGTTCTAAATTTGTCAAGATAGAAAGCATTTAGTTTGTCTTTGAAGGTACTTAGACAAGTACTATTCCTAATGTAAGGCATCCCAGATATTTACAATGCATGCGCATGTGAAATATGAATCCCTTAAATTAGGCCTTTTTAAAC